GTCTTGTTTACATTTTGGCATTTTCAAGTTGTGACTTTGAAGTTCCATGGGCCTGAAGACCTTTGCTAGTCACATTTTCTGAATATCCATGATACTAATATTTTATTATTAAAAATTGATGGTCATTATGCTGTTAAACATTATGTAATATTGCATCAAAATTTGAAAAAAACCTATTTTGGGCACTGCTCCCATGATGACCATTTACGAAAAACCATGTCACTTACTGTTCTCAAAAAGTATAGTAAATATGTACAGATGTGTCTGTACATATTGCCATCACCTACGTCTGTCATCGCCGTCGCTGTAAACGCGATAAGTGGAAGGCAGTTTTACTTTTTGGCTGTTTGGTAATTCTTACTGCCAGTTTAACAGTTTTTTTGTGAAAATTTAATTTTTCACATATTGGCATTTTCAAGGTGTGATTTTGAAGTTCCATGGGCTTGAAGACCCATGCTAGTCACATTTTCTGAAAATCCATGATACGTATGTTTTATTATTAAAAATTGACGGTCATTATGCTGTTAACCATTATGTAATATTGCATCAGAATAGAAGAAAACACAATTTTGGGTGCTGCTGCCATGATGGCCATTATGGGAAAACCGTGTTACTTATAATTGCCATACTTTCAAAAAAGAAATACAGGACTAAAATGCAGCCTGAGTTGGAAAAGCAGTCTAATTGGCTTCTTTTTCTGGAAGTTATACATTTTCAAAGTGTGAACTTGAACTCCCATGGGCCTGAAGCCTTATGCTTGTTACACATTTTACTTACATTGGTATTACATGTTGAGCATAATTAAAATTTGATGTTGAATTTGCAGTTTAACATAATGTACTTTTGCATCAGAATTGACAGTAGCCTAGTTTGTGCATAGTTATTTCCTGTTTTTTGTCTGTACATTTGACAGCTTTGCTGCCTTGTTTCTTTTTTTTATAGTATAAAATATTGCAAAAAGATTTTTTCTTTTCACAAAAGATTGAAAGTTAATGTTATTTGTTTTTGCCTTTCAGACACAGTTTGTTGTCGTCACCATCCACTCCTTCCAATTGTGCTTCATTGACTGTGACTACCCAATGCTGTTCACTTACTGGATAGCAGCTTATGCTGTCATCTTTCTGTGTCTTTTCTCAAATTTCTACATCCAAGCTTATAGACATGGCAAGCGCCACCCTCCTAGTGTTGCCAACAGATCAGAACAGAATGGGGTTTCCCACAGCACCAGGAAGAGCAATGGAAAGGACAACTGAGATCATGTTTATCTTGTAATTGTTAGGTGTTATTTTTGTAAGGACACCAGTGTGTGTTTTTGTTGGTCACAATTGTCAAACATATACATGTTTTGCTTAAATTGGATGTTTACTGTTAACTTGCAGATATATTGTTTTTAACTGATGCATACTCTGTTGTCTCTCCCATCATGACAAACCTGTAAATTGTTGTTAAAGATAGACACTTGAAAATTAAACTGTGAAGGCTTTTGATGTGGAAAAGCTTCTGGTTAGGATGAATTTTATTGTACCAATTTTATCATTGCTCACAAATTGAATTGTAATTATTGACTTATACATGTACAGGTATATCATACATATATATGTAGACTAGCTGAAATTGTTGCAAGTGATTAATGATGATTATTGTAGAATGAAGGGGTGTTTAATAACTTTGTTGTTGAATATATATATATATATATATATATATATATAAGGTTACAGTGTTATACTAGTATATACTATTGTGCAGTAACTTTTTCCAAACAACATTTTTAGTTTGTTCAGTCCTTCATTTACTATGAAATAGCTGTACATGAATTAAGACTCCCCCCCCCCCCCCAATTAACTGAGCTATAGTTTTTGAACTGAATACCATGTTCAATGTGTGCTCATCTTATCTTGTTTGTTATGAAACACATAGAAGGCAAAATTTAGGCTCATTTTAGCTTGTTTTTGTTTGTTTGTGTAATTAAGAATATGTGTAAAAAGCCAAACTTGTTAATATTTTGCTAGCTATGTTAGTCTATAGTCTGTGTTTGATTTCAGATGATTTTTTACAAGTGCTATTTTGTTCTAATAAAATGCATCATACTGCTTCTTTCTGCTTGTTAAACTGGTCTGATATAGAAAAAGGAAGCTCTGAGCGGATACCTCTGTGGTCAGTATTGCACTTCTGTTGCAGGATAAAGTGGGTTTAACCCTGGGGCACACCAGTCCTCGATGAGCAGTACTTGCCCTCTCCCTGCTTGGAACTCGGCCTTAAGGGGAAACGGGGATAAAGCTCTTGATATGGCAGTGAAAGATACTGTTTGTTTGCTAACTTTCAGTGCCTCATACAGCAGTTGGGCTATTTTCTCCCCAGGAAGTGAGAACCTTAACACCCAGTCTGTATCAGGACCAAAAATGGCCAGACATCATCATGTAAAGTAAACCACATTGAGACACGTGTGCAGTGCACAAAAAGTGGTCTTTCCTTTCACTTTACTTTTTTTAATTTTCACAGCCATGTCAAAATGGAGTTGTCAGGAGGCATGTATCTCAAAATGACAAGTCTAGAATTATACTGGCCAAAAGAAGTTTTAAAAAAAGTTCATTAGCCTGATATATATATATATATATATATATATATATATATTTATATATATATATTAATTGTCGAATTAATAATTTCACAGACAGTGCTTTCCTACCGTCAAAGAGCCTTCCTCATGACAAACTGGTCATGCGCTGATGATCTGACGCTGAGATGTATTCATTGACCAGTTGTCCTATGAATGTCCCTTACGGCCCCCCAGGCCCAAGAGGTAGATGTGGGCTAGCTGGTAGCGCCCCTCGTCCCCACTCAAGTTCTTTAAACTTCCTTTATGTATGGCCTCCTCTGGTGAAGTCTTCGCTTTCGTTGTCTACTATTCTGGCGCTGTCCCAATCAATTATTTACTTTTACGGAGTGATCTGTGAGAGCAGATTTCCACATTTGTGTCTCCGATTCCTTCCTTCTGTCTCTCTCAACTTCTGTTCTGTGTTCTTTAACTCTTATCGATAGTTTACATTTGGTCTCTCCTCCTCCTCCTGAGTAGAGCCGAAAATTTGACGGTAGGAAAGCATTGTCTGTGAAATTATTAATTCAACAATTAATCAAAAGAAGTTTTGTTTTAATCACAGTGCTTCAAAATGCCCAAATATGAACATGTAAGTATGGCCACTGTATTCGGTGACAGAACACCATCTCAGTCCTGCAGTCGAGTATTGATACACTTGAGTGATTTCAGACAGTGGCTTGCTTTAGATTTTCAGACATTTCATCTGAATACGCTAGTCTTGCAGAAATAAATTGTCCACAATCAATGCTACTGGACACAGTGAAAAGGCAATTATTTTTTCACCAGATTAATGATTAATTTATTGTATTGCATATATTTCGATGATGTTAACCCCTAAAGTGCAAAACCATTTTTCTTCTCATTTCAAGATATGAGTGGCATTTTGTTGGAAGGCAGGTACCTTTCAAAAATCACAATTGATTAAAATTTTAATATGCGTATTGCAGTGTTTTTTTTGTGTTTTTTTTTTTTTGCTATTATGTGTCTGTATCATTCTCTGCCTTGTTAAACTGAAACTCGGACATGTATAACCAACAATACTTCACCAGTATGTTCAAGGGGGTTCAACTCCGAAGATGGAAGTAGGTGGAGTTCAATGATACCCTGACATTTTGTGCCTTTGGGCTCATTCCCAGTGGAATTATCAGTTTGCATACATCCATTCAACTCCACGACCCTCTCCCCAAATGCAATCAGTCCTTTTTTCCCAACGTACTCATATAATCGCCATCTTTTCTTTAATCTTTTCAACGCCAGGAGGAGACGTGTCATTCAGTTAATCTGATTGCATTCAGTGAGTTAAATCGATCTACGTATACTGATTGTTTCATTGGGATGAGCCCTTTCAAAACCGATTTTAGTGTGCAATAAAAGGCTCAACAAAGCTAGGCATAGGTAAGCTCAGCACCTGTGCTATATTTCATGCGCACTTTTGGGACGAAGAAAGCCAAACTATGTAGTTGCTCGGTTCACATATACTTTGAAGTGCACTGTGTGTCAAAGAGACAAAATGTCAGGGTTATTAACGAAGTTGGCGTACTTTTAATCATGAAAATATATTTCCATACTTTTATCTTTGGCATTCACCCCCTTGATGTTGACAAGCCTAAAAGTTTTGTTGTTGTTGTACAGGCATTTCTTTCGCCATTTTGTGTGTTTCAGACCTGAATGTTATTGTTGCAAATATACCACCCCAACCCGTGGCACATTGCAATATAAAAAAGGGCAAAGCACTGTGGTATTATCCATGATGCACCGTTAGCGTTATAATAAATCTATTAAAATGTTGACGTCCTCAGTTGGACCTGCGTGGATTTCTTCCAGGACCTTCACATCTCATTTAAGAGAGAGCGCAAAAACCGTGTCGGCTCTCTACTATTTAATTGATCTGTTCCATTTTTCATAGTATTTATTCTTTACTCGGAAGTGCGGTTTTTTAATATCCTCTTTCATGAGAACAATGTCAAGAAAAAATATGGCTAAAATGAGTAGACCACCGATAAATCATACTCCACGTTATGGAAGTTAACGATAATTAGATGTAAAGTTGTGATGTGTGATCAGCGTTCGCGAAATTGAGCGAATTAAAAGAATGGGTTCATATGCACAGAAACCGATATCTTACAATGGAAACCTTTCAAAGTATTGATTAAATATAATCACATCAAATGATGAAGGCTATGACTGCGAGTGGATAATGTGTAGATTTCCCCATTCAAATAGATGTTATCGGGAAAGTATAATGTTATTATTCCCGACTTCAGTCAATGGAAATGTGAATGGAACCGAACTGTATTTTTTTCTTAACTCTTTCAATTAAAATGCCAAAATTAATAACCGTGCTCCCCCTCCAAAAAAGGCGACGTCTATATTCATTCACTAAAAATGAATAAGTATGGCATTTGAATACTAACATTATTGCAGAAACTAACAAGTCGCCCATTCACTGTCACATCTTGATATATATATATATATATATATATATATATATATATATATATATATATATATATATATATATATATATATATATATATATATATATATATATATAATGTTTCAAAAGCAACAACCAATGTTCAATAACAGATTGTTTTAAAATCAATTTTACTGACAATACATAATGAATACATCGTAGAAAAAATGCACCGGTGGGCTACGTGTGTGTGTGTGTGTGTGAGAGAGAGAGAGAGGGAGAGAGAGAGAGAGATTTTCTGCATTTTAAACAGTCATTTATACACCATACAGCCATTTCTTACAGAATACTACAGAAAAAAACGATATAAAGGAATATATTTTCAATTGTGCAAACGTTAATTTATACAGTGGTATGTACATCCTGCAGAAGCAGACTTTTTTTCCTACCATCTGAAAATATGGTGCTAGATATTAATTGATGTGTCGGATTAAATGTCTTATTTAACCAGTGCCGTAAATATGATGGTATGACTTATGACACATTCTTCACCATACAATGAACTGATCATTTAATTATAACGCTGGCGATCACAATAGGGTGACGTAACATTGCTCTTACTTGGATATCAAGAACAGACGCTAAGCTTCTAACTTACTATGTGACCATATTGTTTTTGATTACCATAAACAATGTATCAATGAGACACAACCAAAGACAAAATCGAGTGAATTAAAATCAAGAAAAAATCGACAGCCATATTTTCTTCTTATGCGAACCTTTTTTAATCGGTTATACAATTGTGCCATGCGTAAGTATTTCTGGTTTTCTCTTGGACACTTCATACATGTATGGTGGGTTCAATGTTTTCTTAAACGAGCCTCTGATATCAGCGCTGTTTTTGTCTTCATCATATGACTACCTTTTTGATAGCTACATGTTACAACCAAATCACTAGAAGGAACATCGAGTCACAACTGTTCCCTTTAATTCAAAAGTAGAAATAATCAAAGAGAAGTGGAATTAATACGCGTGCTGTTGCAAGACCGTGAGGTGTACGGAGCATCGTAGTCCCACGTGTTTTGTCTGCACTTGCAGCATCGGCGAAAAAGTCGTCGATAGCCCTGGCGAATATCTGGAAGTCGAATTCCGTAGATAATCGGGTCCAATAAACTGTTGATCCAAACCAAGATGAAGGAGGTCAGTAAAACGTCAGGGCAGATTTCAGGATCGCAGACTTGGACCACATTCGACAAGAACGTTGCTATGACCCACGGTCCCCAAGACAGAGCAAGCGTGCCGTAGAGAAGGAAGAGAGTGATGGTCGTCTTTACGTGGCGCTGACGGTCCTCCCTACTGGGCCCAGATCCGCTCGTCCTGCGCGCCTTGTCGTAAGCCCACTGGTTTGAGCGAACGTCCAGGAATATTCGAATGTAAAATACAGTACTGGCAGCCATACATGTAGCAAAAATTAGTATGCTCCCGTAGTACTGTACCTTAATCTGGATTTGGAACACACCCTCCACGGTGTCGCCATATGTACAAAAGTCATGGACGTTTGACAAGATGAGGATGAAAAGCTTTCCCACCACAAACCCCCAGATGAGTGCGAGGGCGGTCCAAGACCATCGCTTGGTGATCCAGGAAGAGTAATGCAGGGGTTTACAGACCGCAATGTACATCTCTAAGCCTAGGGTCAGAAGGGTCAACCCAGCCATCTCCAATAAGGACAATAACACAAAGTCCATGGAATTGCGGCATTCATAGATGACATGGACACAATCACTTAGTAACAGGAAAAGAAAGACCAAGCCATCTACCAGTGCCAGGTTACAGATCAGGATCATTCTAGCGGTTATTCGTTTGATATTTAGAATGGCAGCAAAAGACAGTGCATTGGCTACCAAACCGATTATATATAAGATGATAAAAACGATGAAGATGATATCCTCTTCAGACAAGCTACCATCGTGGCCGTGATACCCTGTTCCGTTTCCTGGCCTGTGGGTACCGTTTCCAACGAAGTGTCCATGTTCCAACATATAAAGTGAAACCATTTTCCTGGAAATAAATGATAATAAATGAAATAAATCTGACGTGTTTTTGAATGAATATGTTTAAACGATATAAGAAGCGAAACGTAAACCATGAAAAAAGAAGCAGTCTGATTATCAAGATAATGGCACATTTCCCTTCAATATATTTTAAACAGTTCATCAAGTATGTTGTTTCGTTGCACAACTCGTAATAAGACTTGTTCCCTCCATAGAATGTAGCATGTCGCACTTTACCAGAGGTCTTCTAGCTGTCGCAAAATTGCAGGTAGTTTTGTAACCGCTATTCCTCCGGTAGCGAGTAATCAAATGGCGCCGACAAACATGTTTACCCGCTTTTAAACAGCTCACATTTCCTTACATGTATTAACCATTTACCTGCCTTTCACGTAAGGTACACTCGAATATTAATACAGCATTTGTCTGGCCCAGTTATACTCATCCGTATTGAAAAATACATGCGTCATCAATTTCGCACATTCTCACTCATCTTATTCAAGTACACACTCTGAATATGTCATAAATTATCAGTCACGGCATATTAAAAACATGTAATTTCCGAGAGCAATACCTTTCCTATTCAAATTAACATCCCTTTTTTCGCACTTCGTAAATCATGAGTGATAAATTTATTCTAAAGTAAGCTTTTTCTGCTCCCTACAGAAGACAAGCCCTTTTATCCTTAAATACACACATGTACATGTATAATGCTAAGGCAACCTATCATTTATCGTGTGCAAAACAGTCTGATACGTGTAAAATTTTATGGTTATTGATCACGATTTATGTACGTGGAAAGTGTACACAAACAGTTTGATACGTAAATCTTATAGTGAATACATGTAACAGATTTGCCCTTTTGTCCTTTTTTTTCACTCAACGAGAATATATGGTGAATGTGTGGCTCACACAACATTTCACATAAAAAAAACAAAACGTCAAAAATTTCAAGGCTCATTTCCTTTCATCTAAACGCGTTGTGATTTATAGTCAACCATATTTATTCCAACATTGTTGACAACCGTCAGATTGAATGCAAGACAAATGATCGTAAAGAAAGAGCGCATTGTACCTTGAAAAGCTTCTTTATGGAAACATGATTGGGATGAGCGTGCAGTTACCAGATATGGTGTTGTCTTTTAAATTACTTATTCTGGTACTTAATCGCAAACATAATCTGGCAATTTTTCAAACAGCACAAGCTGGAAAACCAAATGTCTTTTGTGTGCTTTTGTATGTCACCTTCGGTAATTCCAGAATGTTAACATTTAATGAGTTGCGTAGATGGATTTCTATTTCAAGCCCTGCAACCCAAGAAGTCTAAAGTGTTTTGTCAAGAAATTTATGTTAGAATGTCACACTAAATGTGTTCGTTCTGTCGACCTTCTATCATTGCGTTTTTGTTACCTCTACCAGGGCTGCAGTTATTATTGTGGACATATTTGCTGTGGTGACATCAGACCAAAGTGACCGTCTATTTATCTAGAGACATATCCTTGAATATCTGTGGAAAATCAATCTGTCGCCCTGGTAGAGTGTAGCGTTTTTGCATTGTTAATTTAATTAATACCTAAAATCACGCTCCTACCCCAACAGGCCCAGAAAATAAAATGTGGGTCAAAAGTACAAACAGTGTGAGGCCCCTGAAAGTATTCGGTTATAACTGGTTAAGGAAAAGAAGCCGGGGGATTTCATTTACTTATAACAAGGAGTTACAACTGTTGTAACTCCTTGCTTATAAACAATCTCTGATTTCTCCAGTATTATCAGACTTGGGAGATATCTTAACTACCCTTTATATGAAAAAGTTCGTGTAATCAGTGATAAATTTTCATACATGTGCACTATTAAGGGTGTCATCGAAGGTTTAACGTTCTTCTGGGTGTGAAGTTGTTAACATGGAGATGGTACGGGAGCCTGCCACTGAAGAAAGAAAAAAATGTTTCACTTAGGGAGGAGGATATAGTTGTCCCCCAGATAGCCGCCTGATATGGTGTGTCTGGTCAGACTGTATGCAGGGTTTGCAGCAGGATCGAGTACACTGGTGATGCCCATAAAGTACCACGAAGTGGCCGCCCGAAGAAGGCTAAATTGCCAGAGACGACAGGCATGTTTTTATGTTGTCAAGGCTTAGGGGATTTGCACCGCACAGCGAATTAGCTTTCCAGTAATTGCGCAATTTGCAGGTTGTGATTAGCAAAAGAATTGTTCAAAGAGAGCTCCATGGTTCAGGAATTAACCCAGGTGATAACCACTTATCGCCTTGGTAAACAGACGAAGAAGATTACATGGGCTGCAAGAACCATTGCAATGGCCGTAGGAATTTGTGAACTTGTACCGGTATATGAACAGAACCCCCGACAGAAAACCCAAAAGATAACTGTACCTTTTAGCAGTCTATGCCCAGTAGGATGGTAGTCATATTGATATCACGTGGCTACCCTACAAAATGTTTTAATACTAACATAATAGCATGCTTTTCGTAAGGGCAAAGCAGTTGTATGTAAACCTGTAGTTCAGATACTAACTTGACATAACCACTTTTCAATAAAATACCAATGTAAATAACTAACAAACCCAGCTGTTGTTCGTCTCTGGCATAGCGCACTATTCACACAGATGGTGCAATGCTTATTTGTCATCCCTCTGTAGAAATGAACATAATTGGTTGGTAAAAACGAGGGGTGGCATGAGAATGATTTCAATATTGTGCTGAGCAAATACGCGATCGTGCAAATAGCCATTACCACGCTGAATATTTATCATTGAAACATTACCTCACAAATTTGTGTTTTGAACTTCAAATTATTTTTAGTGTAAATTTGGACAATAATTTTGAACTAAGTTTCATTATATTTAGCTGTTATTAGTAGAAAAACACTACTATTTTAGCAACGTAGATACTTTGGCCGGACGCACGCTCCCATAAACTGCTCTGAGATTTCAAAAATGAAAACAAATACATGTAAATTGGGTTTTCTGATGACTGTAAGTTCGAAATCCCAGTAATTTTCGTTCCTTGCTGCAATTCTTGTTCAGGTTTACAATCCTTGTCATCTTTCAGCTGCTGTTTAGAGAATAATTAGGGTCGGGCATATGCTTTACATCTGTGTATCGAGTTTTTGTGTATCTTTTTGTCTATTGGTTAAGTTTCTGTATAACATGTAGCTTCAGATTTGATTATCTTACAGACACTTAATAACGTCATTTTAAAATTATTTTAAAGCATTAAAAGCATAACTTTTCCAATGGCAGGCTTGTATTGTTCTACGAATAGCAGAAACATACGAGCTTCTCATCCTTAGAATTCCAAAATTCTACATAAATTTTGGATTCAGGCATGTAATGACTGTTACACGTACCTATGCACCTATGTACCGTAGATCCAGGGAGTACATGTACAAAGGAGGCTGCATATGTCAGTACACAACTGAATGAAAATACAAAGTTCCAGAAGGTTAATGAAATGTATTACTACAAATCTACTCAATTCCTCACTTTTACCGTGAAAATGGATCAAACGTCAGATTTGAAATCTCCACACATTACTTCCTAATCAAATTCGGTAGCGCATACATCCATTATTACTCCGTTTGGTGACATATAGCACATTACGGGGCAAATACAATTACACTTTTCTAACTGAGGCAATACCTATCCCGTCAAAAAATATAATGATATGAATATATACATGAAATAAAAATACCACTTCAAGGATGAAAGACGTAAAAAAGTACATACATAGAATCGTACACATTATACACATGGTGAAATCACGTAATAAAACCATTCTAAGATACACATGTACCTAATAAGATTATTCTAAGATAAGGTCAGTTATAATACTGGAAAAAAAATAAAAATAAAGCTAAGAAAGATTTAGTTAAAAGTTGCACCATATTCGAAGGCACCCGCATTGAAAAATGAAAAATCTGATGCTGTCTATTAAGCTTGGCGAAGGATGATGATGGGTTGGAGTCTGTATATGCGATAATTCACATAATGATATTTTAAAATAATCTTTTAAAAAAGAAAAAAGCCGATCATGTAAGTATCTTTATGGACATGGTCTGTAAAAATAGACTTTCCCAATTGGTCACATACCAATTTTGCGATAGGGAATGTTAGTGGCTAAAACTCTTCTGAACAACAATATTATTGGTGTAGTGACACTATTACTGCACTTAAGAACGGCTAAAGCCTGTATAGGAGATCAGAGGCGTGCGATCTAGGGCTAAAGCGTAATTTGCTTGATTTGCTGTTTATCTATAACCTTTAGATGCTTTAATAGCATAAGGCATTCAAACCACATAATATCGCTGGACCTACAATCGATCGCCACAAGTAGGCCTTTGACTTTGTATCCAAGCCCGGAAAGTTGGCACCCTGTGACAGTACTTTATAAAATGCCCTTTAAGCAGAATTCACTCTATTGACAATTTTGGTCATTGGCATTACAGACATTATTAAATGTTACGCCCAAGTTGTCCAAAGAATCTGCCATGGGGTTTTGACCTAAATACCAATTTGGGTGTGATGTTAACAAGGCTTTTCCAAACGACCAAATTTCATTCTCCAACGAAGGGAAAAGTCATAACAAGTATTTATTAACAGTTAGGGCCTAGGCATAGTAGTGGAATAATTGCAACGTTATCTGCATAAGTATCGTTATTGTACGCGTTCTGTGCGATTGCCACTCCAGCATTATTTCATCTCTTTTCTGATAAAATCATAAGTAAACCTTTCAAAAAATTTCCTGGCACCGGAATGTGGTACTCCTTGTTGTGATCAAATAAGCGTTAATACTGTGTTGATAGCTACTCAGGTGAGGGAGATCTGTTTGAAATCGATATTACAGTTTTCACCTCAACGTTACTGTTACGTCATCAGCACGAGTTAGCAAATTCACCGTGATGTTTTTTTTTTATGCGACAGCATTATCTCGTTATAGTAATGTTCATTTCCGCATTATCTCAGTAGATAAGGAAAATCCTTACGTATCGATCCCTTTTTGCAACGCAAATAGAAGCCTCTAGCTTTAATGTGAAGGTGTAGCACAGAGTAATGCAGTACTACCGTAGACAAGTTTTGCATGTTTTTGAATGCTAAAAAAATAGAAGTCCCTGTTTTAATAGAATTCTCGCCCTAACCCACAAACACCTTTTATAGGGGCCGCTGCCCCTGACATTCAATTTGCCTGTCATCTAAAATATCAGCTAAACACCTAATATTCCCACTGTTCTTGTGATATTTGATTTTTATTTTCCATGTCAGCGAAATGATCTAGATACTTCTTAAATAATCATTTTGACTAGACAATAAGCAATATTTGGGATATTTCATTATGCGCTTTTTAGAGTAAAGAAAGTAATTCAAATATCCCTTTTCATCACAACTAAATCATTATGGTGTGCTTCTTAAAAAATAAAGCTCATTTAACGTGCCTTATTGTTGCCATATTCCTTTCATCAAAAATGATAAAAGATAATGGATATAGCCTATCAGTGGTTAATTTAACAAAAACACGATCACGCAGTTGCGAG